GGCCGATATGCTGCTTGGGGGGTCGGATCCATCAGCCCTGTCGCACTTGCAAGGGATGAGTCATTTTGGCAGAGAATAACTCCGTGTAACCACACTGTTTCAGTAAGCATCCGTGGAGGCGCATATGTTAGCAGCTTCTGTTGCTGCTCTCTCTGTGTGTCTCTATATGTGTGTGTGTGTGTATTTCTGTTTGTGTATGTATAGATTCGCGACCTACAAGAGACAAGATGGGCCCGCTTTCAGGTCTGATTCAGCAGGGATCTTCTTCTGCTCTGATGGAACCTCCAGGGCCAGAGCAGTCTATCTCGATTCTTAGTGTATTTTTGGTCTTTGTTGGAAGCCGCCCAGAGTGGTGGGGAAACCCAGCCAGATGGGCAGGGTACAAATAAATTATTATTATTATTATTATTATTATTATTATTATTATTATTGGGCTCTATGGGGTATTTAGCCACTGGGAGAACAGGAGGCTGGACTGAATGGGCTTCCTTTGGCCCAATACCTCCACATTCAGAGACAGCTTATCTAACCCCATATAACACTGGTCCTGAAATACCTACATTGGCTCCCAGTATGTTTCCGAGCACAATTCAAAGTGTTGGTGCTGACCTTGAAAGCCCTAAATGGCCTCAGTCCAGTATACCCGAAGGAGCGTTTCCACCCCCATCATCCAGCCCGGACACTGAGGTCCTGCGCCAAGCGCTTTCTGGCAGTTCCCTAGCTGCGAGATGTGAGGTTACAGGGAACCAGGCAGAGGGCCTTCTCGGTGGTGGCACCCGCCCTGTGGAACGTCCTTCCATCAGATGTCAAGGAGATAAATAACTACACAACTGACATCCCTGCACATCCCTACACAACAGGCAGCCCTGTTCAGGGAAATTTTTAATGCTTGACTTTTTATTATGTGTTTTTTATATGTGCTAGAAGCCTCCCAGAGTGGCTGGGGAAACCCAGCCAGATGGGCAGGGTAATAATAATAATAGTTATTAGGGTTATTTGGCCACTGGTAGACCAGGAGGCCGGGACGCGGGTGGTGCTGTGGGTTAAACCACAGAGCCTAGGACTTGCCGATCAGAAGGTCGGCGGTTCGAATCCCCGTCACGGGGTGAGCTCCCCTTGCTCGGTCCCTGCTCCTGCCAACCTAGCAGTTCAAAAGCACGTCAAAGTGCAAGTAGATAAATAGGTACCACTCCGGCGGGATGGTAAACGGTGTTTCCGTGTGCTGCTCTGGTTCACCAGAAGCGGCTTAGTCCTGCTGGCCACATGACCTGGAAGCTGTACGCCGGCTCCCTCGGCCAGTAAAGCGAGATGAGTGCCGCAACCCCAGAGTCGGCCACGACTGGGCCTAATGGTCAGGGGTCCCTTCACCTTTACCTTTACCTAGACCAGGAGGCTGGGCTAGACAGACCCCTTTTGGGCCTGATCCACCTCTTTAGATTCAGAAGCAAATTTTGGAAGAGGAGGGATACACGCCACTAAATTCTTACTGGGGGCGGGAACACGTTAAGCCTGAACATAACCCAAGACTGTTCCTTGGCCATCCTTACCGTTTGCCTACTTTTAAACCAAAAGCCCTTTCAGTAGAAGATTGGAAACCCTGATTCTTCCTTAAGCACAAAATGTGGGCTTTAAAAAGTCTCTGGTGGACGCGAAACGCTTCGGACATGCCGCAATTTCTAGCCCGCCCTAGAGGAGAGCGTTGTTGCTTCGGCGCAAGGAGACTCTGAGACCTGTTTGGGCACCACTGTGGACAGAAGCGTGTCTTGAATTGCTGGCGTCCAGGTTGTGTGAAACTGCACTGAAACCCCCTTTGCAAGGCCAAATTCCTTCTGGCGCCACAAGCCTGTCCTGGGCGCTGGGCGTCAGTGAAAAAGCCGGCTGTTTTCCTGCTGACCCGGGTCAAGCGTCCGAGGCTTGTTGTGGCAGGCCGGCGGCCAGACAAGCGCGGGGGCTTTCCTTCTCCAGGGGCCAAAGGTTGTGGCCCCCACGTCATCTCATGACGCATCTCAGGCACGGGAGGACTTTTCCTGACCGGCTCGGTGGAAACAGGAGAGCAAAAGGCGTTTCCTGGCTTGTGACTGAGAGAGGAGGGGAGTCGGAAGAGGATGCCCAGCCGGTGCGTGGCAGCCGTGGAAAAGGCAAATCCCAGGACAGAAAAGGAAGTGGAAATAAAAAGATGTTAGATTATTTTTTGTATGCCACTACAGCATACATCTTATGCTCTGGTTGTACATCTGTGTTTTTGAATTCTGGTGCTGGAGGAGACTCTTGAGAGTCCCATGGACTGCAAGAAGATCCAACCTATCCATTCTGAAGGAAATCAGCCCTGAGTGCTCACTGGAAGGACAGATCCTGAAGCTGAGGCTCCAAGAGTTTGGCCACCTCGTGAGAAGAGAAGACTCCCTGGAAAAGTCCCTGATGTTGGGAAAGATGGAGGGCACAAGGAGAAGGAGACCACAGAGGACGAGATGGTGGGACAGTGTTCTCGAAGCTACCAGCATGAGTTTGACCAAACTGCGGGAGGCAGTGGAAGACAGGAGTGCCTGGCGTGCTCTGGTCCAGGGGTCACGAAGAGGCGGACATGACTAAACGACTAAACAACAACAACAAGAAGAAAAATGGCAGATGAAGATGTTGGAGTTCTTGGAGCTGGCCGACCTGACTGGAAGAATCCACAATCAGAAAGAAGAGGAGCATCAAGAAGATTGGAAGAAATTTAAAGATTATCTAGCTAAATATTGTAATATAAGATAATTAGAAGGTACTTGAAAGTATCAGATAGGCCTAGGATTAGAATAAGAATGTTGTATAGGAATATGGATTTAACTCAATAAGAAAAGAGATGAAGATAGTTAATTGAAGGAGTAAATTGTAGTAGAAAGATGGTTTTGGAGAACTGTTACAAGGTGATACAGTGAAATTCAGTTAGGGAGGATTCGAGGAAGTCAGTTAATGGAATTTAAAATGAACTTCAGAAGGAATATGTGTTTTTATTTTTGTTTTTTGTTTTCTTCTCTTAGCATTGAAATGTTCTCTCTTTTGTATGTTTTATATGTTATATCTGTTAAAATCAATTACAAAATTTTGAAAAAGAAAGAAAGAAAAGGAAATGGAAATAAAACTGCCAATATCGTTAATGCCGTTATCCAAATCGGAGGGGCGACTTTTCAGTTTAGAGGAAAGGCGAGTCAAAGGGGACATGGCAGATGTTTATAAAACTATGCATGGTTTGGGGAAAGCAGACAGAGAAAATTCCCCCGCTCCTAATACTGGAACTCTAGCGAAGCTGAACGTTGGATGGTTTCGGACAGATTTTTAAGTAGTTAAACTGTGGAACTCACTGCCACTGGAATCCCTCGGATCCTGCTTGCGGGTTTTACACCGGGGCATCTGGGCGGCCCCTAGGAGAAAAGGATGCTGGACTAGATGGCCCTCCTTTGGCCTGATCCTGCAGCCCAGGCTCTTCCGACGTTCTTATGGAGCCTCCAGCTCCAGAGGCGGTCTATCGAGATCCTCAGTTTCTGGGGGGCCTCTGTGAGAACAGGGTGTTGGACTAGATGGGGCCATTGGCCTGTTTTGGCGGGTTCTTCTTGCTATTTTAGGAAACGCACCTTTTACGCTTGTAGGATAGGGCGCCAGGAGAAACGACCCTCCTTTTCAACTGAAGGGGAAAGTGTGAGTGCGTTGTGGGAGAAGGAGCAGCTTTGATCCTATGGTGTGTTTGAGTTTCTCCAGTATTTCAGCGCCTGCTCTGTACGTGGGCAGCTCATGAAAACACAGCCAGCCGCTTCGCTGTGTGACAAGGATTAATTAAATCGAAGTGGGATGCTTGGAGGATGTGTCTTTCTGGAAGGATGCTGAAAGGGGAGGGGGGTTTGGCAGGGGGGGGGGGTTGGAGACACCACAGAGCAACCCGTGAGACCTGACAGAGTTGCCTCACTTCAGGGCGATTCAGACCTCCTCCATCTCTCTGGGTGGCAGCCAAGCGATTATTAGAGATTTAGGCGCTGTGGACTGAGACGTTTTGCTTGCCCAAAGGGGGGGGGCAAGGTTGCTTCTCTCTCCCCCCCCAAAAAAAGAGAGAGAATGGAAGAATCCGTGATCAGAAAGAAGAGGAAGACCAAGAACAATGGAAGAAATTTAAAGATTATCTAATTAAATATTGTAGCATAAGACAAGGAGAAGCTACTTGAATTTACCAATTTGGCTTCGGAATAGGACATGATTAAACTGTAAAACATTATGGGAGGAATTATGAAAAGAAACTCAGAAAGTAACTTGAAAAAGTAAATTTTGTTAGAGAGAAGAGATTGGAAAACTGTTAGGAGGGGATACAATAGCATTCAGTTAGGGGGGATTTGAGGAAGTTAGTTAACAATGAAAAGCAAATTGGATTTTAGAAGGATTATGCGCTTATTTGTATGTTCTTTTTTCTCTTTATTTTTCTGTTCTTTCTTTTTTTCTTTTTTGTATGTCATACCTGTTATAAACTTGGAAAATTAATTTTAAAAAATGAAAAGAGAGCGAGCAAGCTAAGAATCACATCCAAGCTCAGCCAAGTTATTCTGGCCTGGAGAAAACCCTGTGAGTTCCTGCATCATCATCATCATTTTTAATTTGTATACCGTCTTTCTATCTTACAATACTCAAGGCGATTTACAAGCTGAAGAAACAAAAAACGTACGTCTTACAACAATCTAATGCAATACAAAAACGTGATAATAAAACATAACTTTAAAATAGGCAGCCTACATCAAAAAAAGTAACATTCCACAATCGTTAGAATAGTATAAAATAATAATATCAACATATAAAAGTTAAACAGAAATCCAGTTACGATAAATAATATCTAAACTATAATCCATAAAACGGCAAGCCACAGTACAAAAAACATTACAGAGCTGAGAAACCTTTCTGCGCTTGCTGGTTGACCGCAATCGCCAACTCATTGGGGCGCCTTCCTTTAACTCCCTGCCTCTGTTTTCCTCTTCTCTTCCCAGCTTCCTAGAAGAGGTCTCGGCTTCCGGTTTCCGCGGACGAGGCGCAGACAGCTCCCAGGGGCCGGCGAGGGCAGCGTCCAGGAGGCTGAACTGATGGCCCCTTTTTCGTCATTTCCGACTGACCGACCGTTCCAGGCTACTCAGCATCTGTTGCCCGTTGACACCCACGAACTCACCCACCTGGCGTTTGAAACTTCAGGAAAGCACTTTAGCAGACAATACTTCCCTGTTGCCGAAAAGTATGGGGCAGGCACGCTCTCTCCTCACAGGACCAAACCATGGGGTCCTTTCCCCCCATCCCAAAAGGCTCGATCGAGATCTTAAGGAGAAAAGAAAGGACCGTCCCTCTTGTCACCTTCGTTCTCTTTCCATCCCCCCAGCTCTCACATTGCACGAGAGTTGTTTGCCTGTTTTCCAAACTCATTTACCTCCCCCCCCCCCGCTGTGGCCCGGGATAACCCACCCCCAGAGAAAAATGGCCCCAATAAAAGGAAGTTGCGATTCTTCTAGCAGAGAGCGTTGCTGGTTTTTTTCCTGCTTTCGGCGGAGGAGTAGATAAGATCATGGAATCACAGTTGGGACCCCAGGGATCATCTTGTCCAGGGGTCAGCAAACTTTTTCAGCAGGGGGCCGGTCCACTGTCCCTTGGACCTTGTGGGGGCCGGACTGTATTTTGAAGGGGGGGGAGAACGAATTCCTATGCCCCACAAATAACCCAGAGATGCATTTTAAATAAAAAGGCACATTCTACTCATGTAAAAACACACTGATTCCCGGACAGTCCGCGGGCCGGATTTAGAAGGTGATTGGGCCGGATCCGGCCCCCTGGGCCTTAGTTTGCCTACCCATGATCTAGTCCAGGGGTCAGCAAACTTTTCAGCAGGAGGCCGGTCCAGTGTCCCTCAGACCTTGTAGGGGGCCGGACTATATATTTTTTTGGGGGGGGGGATGAACGAATTCCTATGCCCCACAAATAACTCAGAGATGCATTTTAAATAAAAGCACACATTCTACTCATGTGAAAACACCAGGCAGGCCCCACAAAAAACCCAGAGATGCATTTAAATAAAAGGGGACATTCTACTCAGGTAAAAACACGCTGATTCCTGGACTGTCCGCAGGCCGGATTTAGAAGGCGATTGGGCCGGATCCAGGCCCCCGGGCCTTAGTTTGCTTACCCTTGATCTAGTCCACCGCCCTGCGATGCTGGAATGCGTATCTGTTCCAATTGGGAACAGAACCTGCAACCTTGGCTTTACCAGCACCAGTCTTGCAGGGAAGAGGGGGGTCTGGTGTTTTAGAGAGGGCGGGGATGCCCTTTGGGGCTCCTCCAGATGTTTCCAGACTCCTATCCCATTGTTCTCCCTGACCATTGACCGTGACGGTTGCTGGGGCTGATGGGAGTTGGAATCAGGCCCACCCAGGCCAGCACCCTGTTCCCACGGTGCCCCCCGCGATGCCCCGTCGGGAAGACCCCCCCAAGAAGGACCCGAGTGCGAGAGTATCTCTCCTGTCGTTCCCGGCTACGGGTCTTATTCAGAGGCGAGCGGCTTCCCTCGCGGACTCATCTGGCCAGGCCAGGTCAAGGGTTGGGGCTTTCCATTGTCCTTGGCGACCGCAGTCATCGATAGCTGCGGCCCCGCTTTCGAATCCGCCTTATCAAGGAGCCTTGGGCGAAGATACAGCGGGCGTCCCCTGCGTAGCTGCTTATTTACTTTGCTTTCATCTAAGGAGGGAGGGGTAGTCGGAGTCGAGGCCATTCGCTTGAGTGCGGTCATAGCACCAGAGCGGGGGGACGGGATAGAAAACAGAAAGTCCTCCTTCATGCTACGCAGAGTTAAACTGTGGAACTCACTGCCACAGGAGGCAGCAATGGCCGCCAGCTTAACAAGGCTTTAAAAGAGGATTAGGCAAATTTGCAGAGGGGGAAAGAGCTATCAATGGTTATTATTATTATTATTATTTGAATTTATACACCGCCCTATACCTGGGGGTCTCAGGGCGACTCTCAGAACAAACAAACACATTTTAAAAGGGCATAGGATGTATATTGGATCAAAGGCCTGGTTAAAAAGGAACGTTTTTGCCTGGTGCATAATGAAGGTGCCAGGCAAACGTCCCTGGGGAGAGCATTCCACAGGCAAGGAGCCACTGCAGAGAAGGCCCCGTTCTTGTGTTTCCACCCTCTGGACTTCTCAAGGAGGAGTCACATGAAGGAAGGCCTCAGAAGGTGATCTCAGGGTCCGGGTAGGTTCATACGGAAAGACGCAGTCCTTGAGGTATTGCGGTTCTGAGCCATTTAAGGCTTTATAGGTCAGAACCGACACTTTGAATTGGGCCCAGAAACTAATTGGTAGCCAATGCAGTCGGACCAGGATCAGTGCAATAGGCTCAAACAGTGATCAACCCAGCTGCTGAATTCTGTACTAGCTGAAGTTTCCAAACCATCTTCAGAGGCAGCCCTACGCCAAACGCATTGTAGTAATCTAACCTTGAGGTTACCAGAGCATAGACAACAATAGTTAGGCTATCCCTGTCCAGATAGAGGTGTACCTGGGCCACCAGCCAAAGCTGATGGAAGGCACTCTGGGCCACTGAGGCCACCTGAGCCTCGAGCGACAGCGAAGGACCCAGGAGGACCCCCAAGTTAAGAACCTGTTCCTTCAGAGGAAGAGTAAAGGTAAAGGGACCCCTGACCATTAGGTCCAGTCGTGGCCGACTCTGGGGTTGCGGCGCTCATCTCGCTTTATTGGCCGAGGGAGCCGGCGTACAGCTTCCGGGTCATGTGGCCAGCAGGACTAAGCCGCTTCTGGCGAACCAGAGCAGCACATGGAAACGCCATTTACCTTCCCGCCGGAGTGGTATCTATTTATCTACCTGCACTTTGAGGTGCTTTCGAACTGCTAGGTTGGCAGGAGCAAGGACCGAGCAACGGGAGCTCACCCCATCACGGGGATTTGAACCGCCGACCTTCTGATCGGCAAGTCCTAATGACCCCCCCCCAGACCAAGATCTTATGCTTCGAGCGGGACCCATATCCAAGGGCCTAAATTCGACCTCTTTGCCCAAGCAATCTTGAGCACCAAAGACCGGGAGTGGGGAGGTAAATGGAGCAGTCACCAGGATGCCCCTATTAAAATCCTTTTTATTTTGTCTGCGAGTTTTGTGGGGGTGGGAAGAAGCAGGGTGTCAAAAGATAGATGCGAGGAGATGATAGCACCAGCGACATTTGCAGCCCTGCAGGCCAGCACGGAGAGAGAGAGAGAGACTGGCTTGACTCGAGCAAAAGATATTTTGGTAACCGGTGATTATCCGGAGAATCGGAGAACGAAACTGCAACATGGGGACGCAGCGTGTGTGAATAGGATGTTCCAGGACAGAAGAACAGAGGCAGATAATAACGGCTTTAGATAGGGAACAACTCTCTGCCTTCCATTCGCCATGCAACACACCCACCAGGAATTTCAAGGTCGCTTTTTGCAGCCTGACTCTTTGGATTTAGTGAGACTTCCTTGGTGTGTAGCAAAATGCAAACAAGACTCCTTGCTTTGCTGTTTATTTTCCCTCCTGTTCATTGTTCCGTGGCCCCTCGGAGAGGGAACGTTCCCAGGCCGGGTCCAAGGCTGCGAGATTTTGCCACACACACAATGCAACTTCGTGAGACGCTCGGTCTTGTTTTGTTGTTGAAAGAACCAGATAATTCCGGCCATATTTGGGGCTTTGCATGTTCTGTGACAGTGCAAAAAAGAACAGCAGTTGGGGGTTTGGATGGGCGGTAGCATCCTGAGAACCTCCACTTTCGTTAGTGGGGAAAGAAACCAAGTTTCTAGTCCCTGGGAGTGTGGAAGTTAGTGAAATAAAAAAAATTAAGGTCTTATAAATGTTCATCAATGTACCAAGCAAACACGTACATAAATATATAAACCACATGTCTGAAGCAGCACAGGAAAACAGCCGTGGAACCATTTTTGACTCCCAAATGTTTTCTCTGCAAAGTTAAAGGAAAATGGAAAAGCCTCTCCCCATTGTCTTTTCCTTCACAAATCCTGTCTGAAGGGTATGTTTGTGTATGAATAGGGTGATAATAGGCTCAGTAACTAAGTATTTATCATTACAAAAGACTGGCCAGGCTCCCCAGGGTATCCAATCAAGTGAGCATTAACAGGTAACTTGCCAGACAGGAGGTAAACAACGCACTCAGATTTCTGCTGTAGACCACCCTTTCTGTAATGTAGGTATGATGTATCTGGGGGTGGTCATGGACTCCAAGGCGAGCAATTTACAATGTCTATATAAGGGCGGGCGCACCTGGGTTATGGATCCTCCTCCTTTCCTGCATGTGAGGGGAGCACCCTGTCACAACAGTTCAATAAAGATCAGGCTTATGAGCTGCTTTGCTTCTCAATATTCTCTGGTTGGCCTCTGTTATTTTCTCTGACCGATGGAGAACCTACAAAGGACTCTATAAGAGCTCTTGTGTTCCCCATAAGGGAATAAGGGCAGATTTTTGTTTATTACATAAGCTTCGGGTTGCAGTGGCAATGCTCGCCGAAACCTCAAGTCAGATGCTAAAGGAGCAGAATTTGGACAGAGCGATACTCCATAATTCAGCGATGGAGCATCTCATTTGCACACAGAAGGTCCTGGGTTCAATCACCAGCATCTCCCAAGCAGAAAAGAGCCCTTGCCTTGAAATCCACTGCCAGTCAGTGCAGGCAACATTGGCCCAAAGGGAGCAGCGGGCAGCTGACTCTGTAGAAGGCAGCTTCCTCTTTGAACCAGCCCTTTAATTTGGAACCATGAGGACTAGAATGCTGCTTAATTTTGGGGGCCGCATAGCTCAGTGGGAAAAGCACCTGCTCTGCCTGTGGAACAGCCCCTGGCTCAATCCCAGAAGGCAACTCCAGGCAGGACTGGGAATGCCCCACCTGAACCCCCGAAAGCTGCTGCCAGCCAGTGTAGACAACACTGAGCTTGGTGGATCAAGTCTCTGACTTGGCAAGAGGCAGTTTCCTATGTCGGCGTGTCTTGCACTCAGCCCCTGCATCAGGGCAGTAGCCGGATCTGGACCTGCCTTCTGCCTCTGAACATCTTCCATTGGGCTCAGAATGCATCGGGTATTTCAATGATTTTCTCCCCTCCTGTCTTCTTTACATCTCTTTCCTTTTCTTTTTTATATATAAATTTTTATTAATTTTAACCTAGCATTTTCAACAGTAATTAAACATATGCCCACAGCATCTTAAAAAGTAGAGACATCACCTTGCCAACAAAGGTCCGTATAGTTACAGCTCTGGTTTTCCCAGTAGTGATGTATGGAGGTGAGAGCTGGACCATAAAGAAGGCTGATCGCTGAAGAATGGATGCTTTTGAATTCTGGTGCTGGAGGAGACTCTTGAGAGTCCCATGGACTGCAAGAAGATCAAACCTCTCCATTCTAAAGGAAATCAGCCCTGAGTGCTCACTGGAAGGACAGATCCTGAAGCTGAGGCTCCAAGACTTTGGCCACCTC